ATAGGGTGTCCCATACGAAAAAATACAACTTTGATACGCCGCACTTTATTGGAACGCCCTGTATATTTCAAAATAATTTTAAAATGTAGCTCTTATCAACCTTCAAACTATAAATTTAAAATTGTTTCAAAATCTTTTACTGTTTCGCTGTAATCTTCCGTCCCGTTAGTGGCGACTCACCCTGTATACATATTATATTAGGATTTCAAAGTTCTGAAAGAATAAAAAGAAAATGTTGAGACAAAAATCAAATAACCGACCGACAAAGTGTTTTTTCCGAATTATGGAATCGTATTTTGCGTAGAGACAAAGGAAACATTCACGTGGAAAAGGACAATAGCGGTTGTTGAACCATTTATGCAGATAAGAATTTTGCCATAAGATTAGTAAATTTGTTTAGACAGATATTTACTTAACTTTTTTTTTAATTTAAACAAATTTTTAAAACCTTTTATTAAAAAATGATTGTTATGGTTTTGGTTGCAATGGGTTTTTTATGACATTGGTATTCATTCAACATTCAAATTTGATTGGTAGACAACGGTTGGAATGAGGGAGTTATTTGTGATTCATCACCCAGCCCTTTGCGTCTACTGCTGGACATAGGCCTTCCTCATTTTTGTCCATTGTGCTCTATCTTGAGCATTTTTCATTCAATTTCTTGACATTTTCTTGAAATCTACAGTCCAATGAGTAGGGGGTCTTCCTGTACTTCTTTTGTCTAACCTCGGCCTCCACTCAAGCAATCGCTTCCATCTTTCATTACTGATTCGAGCAACGTGTCCGACCCAGTTCCATTTCAGTGTGGCAATTCGGGAAATTACATCGGTAACTCCTGTTCTTCGTCTTAAGTCTTCATTTATAACTCGGTCACGAACCCATATACTCAGCATTAACCTTTTCATTTTCCTCTGAGCTATTTGCAGCATTTTAGAACTTGTAACTGTCAATGTCAAAGTTTCGGCACCATAGGTCATCACACACAACACACGTTGGTCAAATGTTTTACGTTTTAAAGAAATTGGTATATCGCTTTTAAAGATGTCTTTGAGTTTTTCATAGGCTGCCCATGCTAGGTTCATTTTTCTTTATAGTTTGCATGTTTGGTTGCCTCTTGTAATCTTTATTTCGTGTCCAAGATATATGTATGTATTTTTCATTAGCCATACTTTGTTGTCTCCAATATTGATATTTCCTCTATGCACTAGTTTTGTCATCAATTTTGTTTTGGCCATGTTTATTTTAAGACCCACACTGATTAGTTCTGATTAGTTTAGAGAATATAGAAAGAGGTTTAAGTGGTCGATGTTAGTCCTGCCAGGAGAAGAAAAGGTTATTGTGTTTGAAGACTTGGAGACACTACAGTTTTTCTGATACGACGGTTCTAATAAGCAGAGTTTCCAAGAAGTAAAGTTTGTGATAAGTAACAAAAAAACACTGAAAACTTGAAACTGAAAACTGCTGCGCCAACAGCAGATAAAGATAAGGCAACCAGCGAAGAATTCTATGAACAACTGGGAAGCCTGATGAAAATGACAAAAAAACATGAAGTAACAATAGTGATGGGAGATTTCAATGCAAAGGTTTGCAGAGGCAAGGTGAATGAGATCGTGGGAAACTTCGGCCTAGGAGAGAAAAATGATAGAGGTGATAGACTTATATGCTTCTGCCAGGAATATAACTTGCTGTTAAGTAATACACTCTTCAAGCTCCCCAAACGTCGACTTTACACATGGAAATCCCCATCTGACTCACCTGACAACATCATTAGGAATCAGATAGATTATATAGCAGTACCAACAAGATATAAAAACATGATAAAATTATCAAAAACGTACCCAGGTGCCGATGTTCCTACGGACCACAATTTGTTGGTATGCAGAATGGTCATGAGAGTAAAAAGGCTCGAGAAAAGATCTAATTTAAACACAATCGATATTAAAAAACTCACTAACCCAGAAACCGAAATAAAAGTACGAGAACAACTAGGAAAGAAAATAAAGGACATTAACGAAAACACGTCGGACATAATAGAGAGATGGGATAAATCTAAGCGTGACCGACGAAAGAAGAAAGCTTGGATGTCTGATGAGATAATGGATATGATGGATGAAAGACGTAAATTCAAGAATAAAAATGCAAAAAAATTTCAGCAGATCCACAAAACCATAAGAACGAAAATTCGAGAAGCCAAAGAAAAATGGTTTTCCAACGAATGCAAGGAAATAGAATAATACGAACGAAAATACGACAGTTACAATATGCACACAAAAAATAAAATCGATGACAAACAAGAGGAAATTCAATAAGTCACCCAACAGCATAAAAGATAGCGATGGAAATCTTATCTCGGAGCCATCAACGATCTTAAAAATATGGAAATCATACATAGAAAAATTATTTGCATCTGACAGGACTGATGATAACCTATATGGAGAAGGAGAAACAGGACCTTCAATCCTTAAATCGGAGATAGAAGATGCTATTGCAGCACTACTAAAAAACGATAAGTCAGCAGGTCCGGACAATGTACCCTGCGAAATATTAAAGATCCTATGTAAATCAGACAAACAGTTCCTTGATGATCTAGTTGTACTTTTTAACAACATATATAATAGCGGTAAAATCCCGGAGAACTGGCTACAGTCAACATTTATTACAATCCCAAAGAAACCAAATGCCCAGATTTGTGATGACTACCGGCTTATAAGCTTGATCAATCATGTCACTAAAGCGTTCACTAAGATCATTCATAGAAGAATATATGATAAATGTGAGTCAAATATTGATAGATCGCAGTTTGGTTTTCTTAAAGCACTTGGAACTAGAGAAGCAATTTTCGCTCTCCAGGTGCTTATACAGCGGTGTAGAGACGTTGATAAGGACGTGTATTTGTGCTTTGTAGATTTTAGAAAAGCATTTGACAATGTCAATCATGAACAATTGATAGGTATTCTGCGAAAGACAGGTATTGACGACAAGGACATTCGAATTGTGGCAAACCTATACTGGGGTCAAACAGCAAGAGCAAAAATTGGCAACGAACTCACTGAAAGCGTGCAGATCAAAAGAGGTGTCCGTCAGGGGTGTATATTATTCCCACTCCTATTCAATATGTATTCCGAGGAAATATTTAACAAATGTATGGAAAATGCAAATGAGGGCATAAAAATAAACGGCGAGTTAACGAACAATATAAGATATGCCAAGGACACGGTGATCCTTGCCAGTACCATAGACGAATTACAACAAGTAATGGAAAGACTTTATTCAGTTAGTGAGGAATACGGCCTGAGCCTCAGGCTCAGCTTAAATATCTAGGCCACATATTGAGACACGATAAGTACCGTCTGCTACAATTGATAGTCCAGGGAAAAATGGACAGTAAGCGAGGGCCAGGCAGGAGAAGACACTCGTGGCTCCAAAATCTGCGGAAGTGGTTCGGGCTCACATCGGTCGAACTATTCAGAAGCGCCGCAAACAAGATCAAAATTGCCATGTTAATAGCCAACGTTCGCAACGGACAGGGCACTTGAAGAAGAATTAATCCCGACCGTCTATTTAGATTAGAGTTATTTGTTTTCAATTGCTTGTTTTTCTAAATTAAAAATTAAAGTCACTAATAAAAAAGTAAATTAAAGAATAAAATGAGAGGTCTTTAATTTGGTTATAAGTTTATTTAAGTTATTATCGATAACTTTGGGTGTATCGTGTCTGTTATATTTTTTATTTGATATTCTAAAATTATAATACTTGATTTATTTTGAAAATATATGACACTTGCTTTATTATTTTATATATTTTTTGTAAATATATTTTCCGATTGTCTACTCTTTCCTCAAGGGCAACTATAAAAAATATTTTGACGCCACTTTTTTTGTTAAATAGTATCGATATCTGAGATATCGTATTAAAATATATTTGTTTTGTAAAACTAAGCTTAGAGATAAGATCTAATAAATTGTAAAATCATTCAGTTGAGCAATATATATATATATATATATATATATATATATATATATATATATATATATATAGAAACTTTTTTATTTCCTGGTTTCTCTAAACGTTTCGGCAATGTTGCCATTCTCAATTAAGTACTTTATTAAACTTTAAACATAACATTTTACATTTAAATTTATTTCATGTTTACACTTTTACCATGGATTAAAAATTGGTATCTGATATAGACAGATGACATCAGGCAGATATCACTCAAAGTATGAGTGGTTCAGGGTCGTATCTTAACAATCTGCCATAATGCATTTAAAAAACAACTTAATTTATTAAATTATAATGCATATTGGAAAGATCTTTGATGTCAGTCTTATTATTGATGGAATTTGGATCTTTTTTAATGTGAATCATCTCCAATATGCATCTTTTGTTGTAATTTTGTTGTTTTTTCCAAAATCTGTACATTTTTAAAGTCAAAATAATGGCTATTTTTTAGAGAATGTTTGGCTAGAGCTGTTGTGTTTAATGTCCTGGTTTGTATACTATATTTGTGTGCAACAACTCTTCAATGTAGGTATTGGTGTGTTTGTCCAATATATGTCAAATTGCTGTCTTTACAATTTATTTTATCAATACCATTTGATTAATGTACTTTATTAACTTTAGGTTTAAATTTTAAAAAATATTTTGCAGATGTTTTTGATGATTTATATTAAACATTAATATTATACTTTGCAAACATTTTTGACAGTTTGCGAAAATTTGCGAAATGGTACTCTGAACTAGATAGTTTAATTGCGCTGTCAGTAAGACTGAACACGACAACTCTTTTATGGGCTATGGGTGCGTTGGTATTAAACTTTAGATATCCTCCGGACCAAACATTTTTTGTAAACCAGTTAGTTATTATCATTATGTTAGTGTAATGTACCCAATTTGACAATTTCAATTTAATTTATCTACTAAAGATCCATTATCTAATATATCTTAGTCCTACTGCCCTTTATTTCTTATCTACTACTACTGTTAATAATTCTACTTACTTCTTCCAAACAATATTCCATCATAAACACTGTAAGATATATGTCTAAATCCTACATTTATTAGAGACGTTGAATCATTTATTTGATTTTCTGGTAATTCCAATGAATGCAAACGGAAGTCTTCGTCATGTATGTTATTGCCCTCTTGAGGTGGATCCACTTGTAAAGTTCTGAAATAAAAGATATTACAGTATGTGCGAAATGTAAAATATTTGCTAATTTGCAAACGAAACAAACTGTTTCTGTGTAATTTCTAATAAAAATTTAACTTTTAAGCAAAGAACTGTTTCAGTAGATAACAATTTAAAGATTAAGGAAAAATACGTAAATATTGTAACAAACTGACGCTCAAGTAATGAAAACTTTAATCAAGTGTCCGGACAAACTGATTTTAATAAAGTATATTTCCTGCACGTGCTCGAATTATTGCCTGAATTCTCCTTGGCATGCGTAAAATCGGATGAGATATTATGTCGTGCTGAGGAATAAGTTCCCATTCCTCTAAAAGGGTTTCTTGTAACTGATTTGAAGTTAAAGGGACAGGAACACGACTTCTTATCCTTCGTCTAAGCATGTCACAAATATCTTCGATTTAGTTTGCGTCTGGACTCAATGCTTGCCAATCTATTACAGGAATGTTGACTTCATTTAAAAACTGTTGAGTGGTTCTCATACTGTAAGGCTTGGCATTATCACGCATCAGAACAAAGTCATTTTTAACAAAACCAACATAAGGCACAACAAAATCTTGGAGAATTTTATCAATGTACCTGGCAGGTGTTATGGAGCCTCTCGGAATGATGGACATTTCTGTACGTGCCTCTAGAGAAATTTCAACCCACACCATAATTGAGCCCCCTTGATAGCTTACCCTAGGATTGAAGATATATTCTGCAAAACGCTCATGTGGTCTTCGCTATACTCTCTTACGGCCATCTGGAGACCGCAAGTTAAAGCTGGATTCATTGGTAAATAAAACGTTGTAGTCTCTGTTGTAGGTCTGCGATTGTTTAAATTTGCTTTTCCAAGCCTTCGCCCAATTGTTGGTTTACTTGCGTAAGTATTACGGACGGACTGAAGTTGATTTCGGATTTGTACAGCAGTAGCAAGACGATCTCGTAGACTTTGTATAAGGATAAAGCGATCATCACGGGCACTAGTTCTTCATTGGGGCTTTTTTCAGGTCATCTAGTGTAAGCTCCGTTTGTCAAGAAACGTGTAAAAATACGATGCACTGTACTTTAGGATATTTGATACTTTTAAACAACATATCGCTCAGTTCTTCCGTCTTGAAGCAAGGCAACAATAGCAGCCGCTGTTTCGGGATTTACAACCATAATTATTGAGATTAAATCAACGCAATTCAACTTTAAATATTTTTTTAATTCGTCTGTACAGTTTACTCACATCAACGAGAACAAAAGAATAACAATAGAATCCTATCAGCTACCTTTGCACTTTAAAAAGTGATAAGAATAATGTATTCTTTATTTCTGAGTTTTTATGCATGTTTTTTTCTATCGGATGAGCACTTAAGTTTTATTAGAAATAACTTATAACAGTTTAATTTGTTTGTGTTTACGTTATTACAATAATAAATGTTTAAAGAGAATATTTTTTAACTGTTTAAATGTTTATTTTAAAAATGCAAGTGATCCGTTTTTCGTGCCGGTGAGTAATAAGCAAAAATGTGAATTTTAAATTATAATATATTACTTTAACAGTTTACCTATAATTCAATTTGTCTCGGGCTATTTTCTCGTGTCTCAGTATATTTGTTTTTGTATTATTTGTAAGTAAGAGAATCAAAAGGAATAATAAAAATACACATAAATATCAAATGTAAATTTCATCAATATATTGTATAGCAAATAAGATAAAAAAATATCAAATATAAAATACATCATAATATACCTGCTATATAAAATAAATAATTAATATATCATCAATAATAAATATCAAAATTATGACATCCTAATTGTAAAAATCCAAAAAAAAGACATACCTACAGATCATAAATATCTCTATAACGTGTTCTTAAATTCTAAAGATCAAATAAGCAAAACCGAATCTATTCGCCAACGAATAACTTCTCAAAACATTTCTATCTCCCTAAAATTTTAAATCAAAATTTTATCTGCAAATTTACAGGGCTTCTTCTTAAATCCGCTTCTATTAACCCAACGTACTTTTCTTGTGGTTCGATCTTTGCCCAAAATTATCTCTTATAGAAATAAAGTATTAACAATCAAATGCTGCTTACAAAAAGCTTATAAGCAACAGGGTATATCTTGTAAGGACAATACCCTTACAAGAGTATTGTTGAAGAAGTTCGAAAAATCATTCGTGAAAATCATTTTTGACTAAGAATGAAGCATTTTCGGCTAGAGATTGTAGAGTTTTAGCCAAGTACTTGAAATGTAAAGGAATATCGGGTTTGTGAAATAAGGGTAGGCAATATATTCCAGGTGTTTTATTTCAACAAGAAAAGAGGTTTTATTAATGATGGCTTTTGTTATTTTTTTAAATAGGTTGTTGGATTATTAGGGATAATTAATTGGATTAAAGGGATTAAAGGCAGTGGCATTTCCTTTATAAGCGGAAAGAATGACTAGATTTGGATATGACTGAAGTTCTTTTAGGGCATTTTTCTCTCATTAGCTAATGTTCGGAGTTCAGTTTCTAGTAACTCTAGCGATGTTTTGTCTAGTTATTTCAGCATCTTGGAAAGGTAAACTGAAGATATCTTTTCAGTGGAGATGATTGTCTCAATTGTAATGTCATTTGACGTAACAGAGTAATTAATACATTTTGCTAAAGCTAGGTGGTGAGTTTCAAAGTTGTACTTATTTGTTGTAGACAGTTGTGTTAATGTTAATCTAAGCTTGCATGATTTTCTATTTATTTTGAAAATGCCAATTCTCCGAAGATGAGACATTTTCCAACTAACTGCATGCACTACATAGCAGATGTTAGCAGTCTCACCAGTTCAGTTTTAACTTCTTTAATGTGTGGTTTGTTTTGTTATGCATCTTTCATATAAAACGAGTAGTTCTGAAAGTAAAAATAGTGCTAAAATTAAAAATTAACAAAAAAAAGTAGGGCTTTATTAATCATTTCAAGTATAAAAGTGAAGTAATTAAAAAGGCTAACGAAAAGAGCTAGGCAGATAATATTAACAAGGAAAAAAATTAAGGCGGGAAAAGCTGGAATTAATTGCAGCTGATGCAATAAATGTTGTGAAATTTACTCAGAGTTATAAAAAGTACTTTACTTGCATGTTCACACTTGTCTGATGACAACCATTCTCAAGACTGCTATTTACAAGGTATGATAAAAGTAACAGCTATTAAGAGAAGCAGAAAATCTTAGACTACCAATAAACACATTTAGAAACCTCATAACTTTTTATTTTATGTTTTCTTTAACAAACTCCATAAAAGGGTATGGGGGTAGAGGGACTGATTTATTATATTATTGAACCATTGTTTTTGATTTGTGATATACGTATTACTTTATTAGAGCCAGATTAAACAGTATACAGGAGAAAGGGTCTCCCTGGCGCAGCTCATTATTTGTTCTAGAAGGTTCAGAAAATTTTCTCTGAATTTACACTCTGCATTCACCTTTTTCAAGAAATAGTTTTGTTTAATTTTTTATTGCAATTATTAATGTATGTAATGTATTAATTACCGATGATTTGGTATTCCTAGCTCTATCCATTGCTTTGAACATATCTCTTCTATTCACAGAGTTGTGGGCTGCTTTGTTGTCTATAAATATGTGATGAGTATAAATGCCATATTCCAGTGTTTTTTTATTATCACTTGTTTCGGGGTTGCAATCTGATAAATTGGCGATTTACCACCTCCCAAACCAGATTGGTATTTCGCTACTATCTGTTCTGCATATGGTGCCATATGGTGACAAAGTACTGTGTAAAATATTTTATTTCTCTGTGGTCAGAGTATTGAAAGGTATTTTCTTTTCTGTGTATAGAGCATTCTTCTTCTTCAAGTTCCACTCCTATCGGAGATTGGAAATCATTCTGGCAATTATAATTTTATTGGTTACTCCCCTGAATAGTTCAATTGAACTGCATCCAAACCACTCACGGAGATTGCGTAGCCACGAGATTTTACGTCTTCCTACGCTTCTTCTACATTTGATTTTACCCTGCATTATATTCCTTAGTAGTTCGTACTTTTCACCTCTCATGATGTGCCCCAAGTATTCCAATTTCCTGATCTTTATGGAATTTAAAACTTCGCATTGTTTTCCTAGTTGTTCGAGAACTTGTTCGTTTGTTTTGCGATCCATCCATGATATTTTCAAAATGCGTCGGTAACACCACATTTCGAATGCTTCTAGGTTTTTAATGTTGGATTTTTTAAGTGTCCAAGCTTCAACTTCATACAAAAGGGTAGAGAAAATATAACATCGAAGCATTCTTATCCGAAGCGATATATTGATATCGCGATTACAAAAAGTTTTCTCATTCTATTAAAAGTTGACCGAGCAATTTCAATGCGGCATCTTATTTCTTTTGTCTGATCAGTATCGAGCATTACAAACACTTAATTCCATGGGAAAGGAAACAGCTTTCATTTGCGTACCATCGCACACTGGAATCGAAGGAAATGAAGAATTACAAGCAATTACAAGCCGTATCAACGTAGAAGATACTACAAAAATTGCAAAATATCCTTATAGTGACATGAAACATCTGATTAAAGTTCATTGCAATAACATTTGGCAAAATTACTGGGAAACTTTAGCAACCAAATTAAACCCAATATGCCCAAAGGTGAACTGCCCTTTAAATAACCTTAGAAGTAGACGAGGTAACTATAAACCGTTTAAGAATTGTTCATACTGCTGTAGCAATACAAATTTTTAATTAGTAAAAATCCACCACCAATTTGCAATAACTGCTTCACTTCATTGACAGTGAAACACTTCCTGCTTGACTGCCCATGTTTCCAAAATCAAAGAAGAATGCATGAAACTTTAGACGACCTCAAATCCATCCTGACAGATAAAAATGTAAATGAATTAAATTATTTAAGAGATATAAAATTAACATATTTATATAATAACAACACTAAAGTGGAACTGGGCAGGTCATGTAGCAAGATCAGTTGATGACCGGTGGACAAAAAGAATTTTG